CCCCAAAACCCCAAAACCCCAAAACCCCTATTTTCATAAAAATTATAGAATTTATATAAAATGAATGATAAAAGCAAGAATCCATCAATCAGCATGCTTGGAGTTGTAGGAGACTCAGTAAAACCTTCGAAACTAAAAGGGCCTGTGCATCTTACATCTGGTGTTATCATGAAGAAAAGGGAGAGCATGACTTCAAGTCCTCAGAAGATGAATTTCAAAGGTGCCAACAAGCCTAGTATTAAATATGCTAAAAAGATCAAACCACCAACTAAAAAGGTGCATAAATAAAACTAATTCTAAATAAATCTGAAAGGTTACACTTCAGTGAACAGAATGTGCTGAGCACTCTCAAACATAATGAAAGATTAAAGAGGATAAATTCTGGATCAAATGACTTGTTACCTATAACTTTACCAAAAGCTTCTTCTATTGACTCTCCTCCTACTACAGATGACCTCAGGAAGCACCTCTCGACTGGAAGCATGGTCAAAGAACTTCATATTGAGAGTATTGGAAGAATGCAGAAGAAATTCTTTGCCAAAAGAAGACACCATAAAAGTAAATCTATGTGAAAACAAAGAAACAATAATTTAAAATAAGACTGAAAGCAGAGAGATATTCACTGCTGTTCAGAAGGTTTCAAATATTCAAGATAAATTCATGAGTAAGTTTACTCTAAATTTTATAGCTTCAAGACCAGCCAAGCACAAAGGACTAGACAGCATTAAGGATGCATTGAATGCTACACCCAAGATTATGAGGTTCGGGTTTAAAAAGAGATTTGGTAATTTTCATGACTAAGTTTCTAGCTGATACAAATTATGATGAATTTAAACAGACGTTAGTCATGAAAGATAAATTTAAAGGACATTCAAAAGAATTTTCTAAACAAAATGATCGCAATTTCTTAGCAACCATAAAATCTGCCTCTCAGCTAGATGATCTTTTGGATCCTGGAAAAATTGTATTTGAAAGAGATAAAAGAAATGAGGAAAATTTTACTGATTTCAAGGATACAGATCTTGAACTAAATTCTCAAGAACTTGAGAGGAATCTTCTAAAAAACCCTAACACTCATACTCTCGAAAGTATCTCTAAATATATGACAATAATGCTTGAGAGGCATCTCAAATTCAACAAAATAGAAGAACAAGAGTATAGGAAGAGAAAAGTTGAAGATCTTGACTTGAATAACATCAACGAGCACTTCATTTCCAAAAAGGTCATCCTCAGTAAAACCTTTGACACCTATATAAAATACAAGTCTGATATTGACCATTATGAAGCAGAGTTTCTAAAATAAGGCATACCAAGAGCTAAAAGAAGTCCTTGAGTTCTTCATTGATATCACTCTAAAGCTGGGCAAAACCAATGAAGGTGAGCACCACAAGAATCAAGCCATTATCAAACAGAATAATGACTTCTTAGATGCCCTAAATGCTGTCAAGCAAATGAACAGAACTGATAATTTAGATTACTACTTATTCGGCATCAAGAGGCTAACTGAGCAGAAGTACTTCAGCATTATGCACACTGCTAAGCAGACATTGAAAGTGGCCAACCACGATTTGGCATATAGGCAAATAAAGTTCATTGATGATTTCTTTGAGCACTCAATTAACCAACAAAAAATAATAGAAGCTGATGCTAAATAAAATCCTTGAAATGGAGAATGAAATAGCTTCTTTGAAAAGAAATATGAAAGAGAAGGAAAAGAAACAGAGAGAAGAGATTCAAGCGATGTTCAAGTTCTCTGATGATCAGAAAAAGAAAATAGGTTGGATGTTTAACTAACTCTTTAGATGGTCTAAATGCCCATAAAACAAATCACTTAGAGGAGTTATTTGATAATAGAAAATAAAGAATTTGAAGCCGAGAAGAAGAATCTGATTAAAGAGCGAACAAAAATTGTCAAAAAGTTATACAAAATTAAGAATGTAGTCAAGTCTTTAAGAATTGAAAATCAAAACTTGAAAGAAGAGTTCTCTGAACACCATGAAAGTATAAAGCAGTACATAGACTCTGCACTTCTAGAACAAGCTGCAAGGGTGAGGACTGTTAGGAAGAAGAATATGTCCAAACCGAAAGAGCCTGATTTTAACCTGAAAACCATATTCTCAAATTACATCAGAAATCTTAAAAGTGAAGTTCCTGAATCTGTCACATTAAAGGTACAATTATCTGCATAAACTTCTTTAGGGAGAGGTTCAAAGTGAAAGATGGGCTTTATCAATAATAAACCTAATTTACTTAGACAAGACCAAGAAAGACACAGAGGACTTTATGGTATCAAGCCAATAACACTTCTATAGGATGGCAGACCCCTGATCCCTCTTCAGCAATTTATAATCCAATGGTTCTGAATCATCTTTGGCAATAGAGCTGTCGTCAATGATCTTATTCATGATTTTATTCGTACTTGAATTGAATACGAAAAAGAGCACCAAAGATTCAACACGTTTCTGAACCTAGCTGGGATTCATATAAATAATGGAGAAATTGACCCTATCCCAATATCTAAAAAGGAGTACTTAAGAAAGATTCAGTTCCAGTCAACTGACACTCTCCTTATGTTCCTTAGATTCCTCGTGTGCATTAGGATGAACTGATCGCCTTACTTACCTGACCTCGATAGAGAAAACCGAGAAGATAAAGGCACTGTTGTAAATTATGCAGAGGCTAAACATGTCTGGCTTGCTTTAATTACTGAAACTTCCTCTGAGCATGGAATCACAGAAGCTGCTTTTAAAGAACTTGACACTATCTGAGCAGATCTTCTTGAAGATTCTAGTGGTAAAAAGCCAGGGTTTAAAATTCCAGGAGCTGTCCTTTCTAGAACTGGTCTGAAGGACTCTAGAAGAGAATCTGAAAATGATGTAAGGAGATCTAAATAAAAGCATGAGTGTGAAATCTATTGATGACAAAAATATTCATCTCGATACATTCATGAGAGTTTGAATCAATTTATATGTAGAGAATAGAATTTTACAAATGGAAAGACTTTTGAGTTGCCTTCAGGTAAGGTCATATAATTTAGATTCATAATTTTTAGCTTGAACAAGCCAAAAATTCTACTGAAATTAACTTTCAAAAATTCAGAAATTCTATAAAGAGTACATGGAATGATAAAGCCAAGAAGCCAAGTGATCACTTATTGTTCAGTTCTAACAAGATTGAGTTAGCCTATGCACATATCTTGTGTGAAATGAGGTCTTCTACATATGATGAGGAAGATGTAATCATCAAGCTTGCCCCTTTTCTCAACTGAACTTATGAAACTAGAGCGTTTTCTCAAAAACTTAAAGGAAAAACTCAAGTTAAAGAGCTCATGGATAAAGATATTTTAGATGTAAATCCTCCTGATAAAGAAGAGAATAAGAGTTTACTTCAAAATACCTCTAAGCTAAGCGGGTTAGCTAGTCTAATGAATAAGAGTGGTCAAAAGGATGGAACCTCAAAACTGACTGTTAATATTCCAAAATCCATTATCCCAATCCTCAAAGATTACAAAGATAGTGTCTCGAGTGAAACTCTATACGATGAGATTACGAAAAGTTACAAGAACAAAATAGGATCTGCTCCTCTAATTTTCTTCATGATGGATACACCACAGACTTAAATACTAAAGGTTTCACCAACTTCATAAATTAAAAAATATTCAATTTATGAAAATTTAAAGGGGTTTTGGGGTTTTGGGGTTTTGGGG